TCGTACGTACCGTCCGTCGGTCGGACGTTACGGTTGGTACGTACTACGTAGTCGTGTCGTACGTACGTACTGGTCGTCGTAGTAGAGTACTTCTTCTTCTCTCTCTCTCTCTCTCTCTCTCTCTCTCTCTATATATATATATATATATATATATATATATGAGATTAGCCTACTAGCTCATATGAACATATGAGCTCAACGTCCCAGATTGAATTTGGGCTGATCTGACGATCACGGATGTCCTATAGTGTTTGAATTTTAGTTTTTTTCTACAAATCCAAATCATTTGAAATTTTAGGCGTGTGTTCATAAAAAATAGGTGGATCTTTGAAAAATATCAAAAAAATATTTTACATGAAATAAATTGACCAAAATACCCCCGAAAGGTTTTGAGGGGTATTTTGATCATTTTGCTTTTCGGGGATAATTGTTTTTATATTTTTATTAGGTACGCCTTGATGAGAAGAAAACACACTTAAAATTTCAAGCGATTTGGATCTAGACAAAAAAAAAAAAATCCAAGCACTACCAGACGTCCGTGATCTTAAGATCGGCCCAGATTCAATCTGGGCCGTTGGGCTCATATGTTCATATGAGCTAGTGGGCTAATCCCATCTTTTCTCATCACTATCCAAAGTTCATCGCACAGTCATGATTGTCCGGTAGTGTTTCAATTTTTTTATACAAATCGGAATGATCTGAAATTTGGAACGTGTGTTCATAAAAAATAGGCGAATCTACGATAAATATCAAAAAAAATATTTTACATGAAATAAATTGACGAAAATACCCCCAAAAAGTTTCAGGGGTATTTTGGTTAGTTCTTTTTTTGCAAAAAAAAATAAAACACTACCGGACAATCGTGACTTTGAGATGAACTTTGGATGGTGATAATGGTAGGCGAAATCACTGTTCATTTTCACTTATAGGCATTGGGAAGACTTTGAGCTAGTGGGTTAATCTCAACATTTTTCATATATTTTTTTATGTACACACGCTTTAAATTTCAAGTGATTTGGATTTGTAGAAAAAAATTAAAATTCAAACACTACAGTACATCCATGATCGTCAGATCAGCCCAAATTCAATCTGGGCCGGTGGGTTCATTTTTTCCTATGAGCTAGTGGGCTCACCCTAGCATTTTCCTATATATATATATATATATATATATA